AGTAAATTGGCCAGCAGCCAAACTACTTCTGGCTGTGATCCTATCAGGTTTCGTAAACTAAGAAATATTGGACTGGGCTTGTACTTGGTAGGAAAGCTCCTGGAAAAATCCATGGGGCTGGAGTGTTGGTGATTCAGTGAGTGGCATGCTCACTTTTAAGATGAAGTTGGATAATGCCATAGTGGCACTTATTGTCCGCTAAAGGAAAAGTACTTTGGATTAGACAAATGAGTGAGGAGCCTTCCTACTTCTTGAGAGCACTAAAAAAACAGTGGCTGGGTGTGAATGAATAGGAAGTGGCCATTGGCACAATTACCACAAATTATTTTCCTTGTTATTTTTTTATAATAATTATACTGCCAGGGATTACCCTAGTTTTATGCCACCTTTGTCCCTCCTCTTGCTAAACTTCCTGACAAAGCTCTGCTAGCAGGAGCTAGCTAGTGCTGGGGCAACTGGTTCTCACTAGCCTTCTGTTGGGAATGATAGTCAATAGTTAATTTTATCTCATACTTCCTGGATATTAAAATGAGGAACACAGCATACTCTTAGAGTAAGTAAAAAGGCAGTATTCCCTAGAAGACTAGACAGAGTCAAGGTAGGTGTCATGGAAAAAGTAACGTGACAGCTGAGGAATGCTGTAGAAAATAAGAGGACATTTCTATAATCATGCTTCAGAATTGCTGTGAGAAGTTATGTGCACTGCCTAAACTCATCAAGAAAGATTAGTTACAAAGGTACATCTTAAAAGCTTATCAAGTTGTATTCTGTATTTGTCTCATGTTAGCTGAGCTTCTAACTCTCAACTCATTCCCCTCAAATTACGTCAGGCTTTAGAAAATCTGCACCTCCTGCAGAGCTTTGTACCATGGTGTCTCCATGCAGCCGCAGTCTGCAGTGGATTTTGGGAGCTAGGAGGAGGTGAAGGGCAGGATATGTGTGTATGGAACACCCAAACTGCAATTGGCCATGGAGGCGTATTCATCCCCCTTTTGCTCCTGTAGAATTCACATAATTTGTGTTTAGGACTTTGTTTTATATTGTGTGACATCACCGCAATTGCTTCATTATTCAGGAATTCCATGTCTTGCTTTCTGGGTATTAGATTAATCTTCTCCTCTTCCCTGTGCCAATGGTTTGGACACGTATGCCATTATGATAGTCATGTTTAGCAATACCACACATGGCAACATGTGTCATGGAATTTCTCTGAGTATGCTTAGGAGGATATGGTCTGAAATCTTGCACTGAATACAAGTAAGCTTCCACAGAGTGACCAATGGTAATCCACTTGCCAGACAGCTGAAAGAAGGTAAAAAGTGATTCTTGCCTTTAAAAAATGTAAACTTTGATTGCAAGATTTTATTCCTTATAGGTCTGTGAATAGGTCAGCCATGCTGGAAGCCAGATGTTTTCCTCAAAAACTGAAAATAAATTCTGATAGATAAGACTCTTATCAAAAAGTTATCCATCTGGCTATCATGCGGTTGTGACACAGAGGCCCATTGGTGATTCACTGTTGTCAGCCACTCTTACCAAAGCTCATAAACTCACTACTGCTAACATGTTGTTGTCATAATATTCCCCTGTAAGGAATGTTATGTGAGGCATCAAATGAAAGCCAGTAACATACTGGTAATTGCTATCATCATGAAATATATTTATTAACTGCTGTATAATGGATCCTTATTGATATTAAGCTATAAACACTAAACACAGGTAGATACATGTTTCCTTCCAGACAAGGGAGGAACAGTTATCTCCCCACCTCTAATATAAATACAGGTTGTGAGTCATGTACAATGGGAGTTATATTTGTCAGTCAAGTGCATAGGAAAAACAAATTAACAGGAGGATGTGGAAATTGTATGGTGATGGCACACTAGAGAATCAGTGATGGAGGAGGAGGATCTTACCTATGGAGGTACACTTCAAAAGGATCCATTTCAAAGGCTGCTGAACTATCAGAAGAGAAAAGAACCCCTTCTTATGCATCAAGAAGGGAGCAAAAAGGACTGTGCTTTTTGCATTCATAAAAGTTGGATTCTGGCCCAGGTGTCTGGTGCTGATGAGAGGTTGCTTTGGGTGAGAAACATACCTTAGACAAAGGTTTTAGCTTGTTAAAATGATGAGTCTCTTGTTTTATTTTTACCCTCTGTTGTTTACATTATTCTTACACAATACTCATCTGAATCTGGACTCGCCCTTCCTACTTAATGAATTTATTCCCTTCTTGTACTATACATACATATCAGTGCTATAATATTAAGCAAAGGGCATATCCTCAACCAAATAGGCTGGTATGTACATTGTTTCTTTGGAGGCAGCAAAATTGATGATTTCTGAGAGCAGGGGCAGACTGGCCCGGTGGGATACCGGGAATATCCCATTGGGCCATCATCCGGTGGGCTGTCGTGTCTGCACACCATTGCCCCTCACTCCAAGCAGCTCCGTATCCGCTCTGTATGCAGCACACAGAGCCCAACCCGCTGCCTGCGCTGCATGCTGGACATGACTCTGGGAAAGGGAGCGGGGCTTGAGGGGCACGCAGGGGTGATGTCATGGAGAGGGCCATTCTCAACCCATTTCCTGGGCCTATTTTGATTACCAGTACGCTTCTGTCTGTGAGTGTCCAATGACAGGCTGGATATTACAGGAGGACACACTTAAAGGAGACATGGGGTTACGGGTGCATCTCAAGTTAGCCTTGAAGCCAAAGTACAGTCTGGAAGAGCTTCTGAGAAGATTGTTTGTGGGGCTAGCAGACTGGAGTGACAGGAAGTTGACACCCAGCTTAACATCAGCAAATCTCTCTCGCTGAGGAAAGGGGATAACAAGGTGGCACATAAGGTTGGGTGCCCCAAGAAAGCAGTTGTTTCCAAATGCAAATGGAAATAAGTTGTGCAAATGTTTATTCATTTCATGTGCTCCCTAAGGACCAGATCATCTCCATTAACCCATACCAAGTAATACCTTACTCTGCAAATGGGCCCACGATTTTCTGCTGTTTGTATCTCTCTTAGGGCATGTCTATATTTAACAGACAATTGATGCTCCGGAGGTCAATCTTCTAGTGTTTGAGTGGATCTAGTATAGACCCGTAAATTGAACACTGAGGGCAACCACTGCTGTACTCCTCCTTCTGCAAGGAGTAAGGGAAGCCGATGGGAGCATTTGCTCCCATTGGCCTCTCACTGTGTGAGTTAAGCCAACTCTAGCTATGCATTTTGCATAGCTGGAGTTCAGTACCTTAAGCCAGCTTCCTTGGTCTAGTATAGACCAGGCCTTAGAGGCAGTGTGGTTAGTCTGATGGACTTCAGACACCGAAGACCACAAACTGAAAACATAGATTGAAAATAAGTTTGGTGCTCTTGGTTTAGGGCAAGGCCCAAAGAATCAGTGATAATATTCCCTGATGTGAGAAGGAACATGCCCTGACTCCTGAGACCACCCACGTATTTCTAGATAAATAGTGATCATCAGGGAAAACCACACACAATGGTTTAGAAGAGTTGATACCAAGTTGTCTATGGAGGTGAATTGGAACACTGAACAGTGTACATGGGTGCAGTATGTCTAATTCTAGCCAGTATTATCAATTAGTCACTTTCATGTGACAGTATATGTGGTGAAGTATCACTTCTTTTCTGTGTGAAACTAAATTAATGTAATGTTAAAGTTGCACAATTAAATCAAACCAAATCAGAAACTTTACACATTAAGGTTTATGCAGTTACATTAACTAAGTTGAATTTCGCATGTGGTATTCCGGTTTCCTTTGTGTGCATGTCTCTTCATATTTTAAAATGTGGCTCACAAAATAGGGAATAAATATACATATATATTATTCATTACATTTGATGTTCATGACTCAGTGAGGTTGCTGGGCTAAGGAAGGTGACTAATACCTTGGTTTCCACATAATGATTGCCTACTGACAGTTCTCTGTGGGTCTAATATAACAGGGAACAAGCACCTCTGCCTGTTTTAATGGCCATATCTTGGCAATGGAAATAGAAATGAGTCCACAGGGTACATTATAGTAACTACTGTGAATTTAAGCAAACACAGATTTGACTGAAAATATATTATTTTCATAACTTGTACCTATTTTTAATAGAAAATTATAGAAGTAGCCCAATGTCTAGTCTATTTTTATCTTAGGCAAATCAGCACACTAGTAAGTTGATACAGACTTGATCCTGCATTCCTTATAAACCCAAACTGAGGGTATATCTACACTGTGGTCTAAAGTCAAATTAAAGATACACAACTTCAGCTTTGTTAATTGCGTAGCTCAACTTTTTAAGTACCTTAATTCAGCTTTTGGCACTGTTCCTTCGACTTCCCTTACTCTTCATGAAACGAGGGTCAAAGAAGTTGGACTATGTTTAAACTGCCACTTCTTATTGGAAAAAGGTATGCAAATTGTGCTCCGCAATTTGCATACCTTTTACCGATAGTTTTGTTGGAGGAGGCTTTTCCAAAATTTGGCCCATCTACACTGGGCCAAATTTTGAAAAAACCTCCTCCTTCAGAAGAGCCCTTCTTCCTCACGGCACAAGGAAGACAGGGCTTCCGAAAGAGTGCATCTGCTTTTCCGCAAAAAATGTTGGAAGAGTAGACGCGTTCCCTGGATGTGGCGGAGTTTTTCCAGGATTCCTCCAGTATCCTGGAAAAACTCCATAGTCTAGATATAGCCTTGGAGTAAAAAGCCCATTATTTCAAAATTATTTTGAAATAACACTGTTGTGTAGACATGCCATCATTGAAATAATACAACATATGGTCCTATTTCCATATATTTTTCTTACTTTTTTTACTCTAAATAATGTGTTAGTTAAACATGGCTGGAAATTAAACTAAAAATCTCTATATGTGCAAATCCAGGATTTTTGCAAATTAATATAAGAACTCTAAAGATTTTCAGAAGCTGATCCAAAAATTAAACGTTTTTGTAAATTTTAAAATAACCTGTTCTCTTTAATTCTCTGTAACAGGCAATTCTGCTAACCTAACCTGCCGAGCTTTCTTTGGATATAGTGGGGATGTCAGTCCTTTAATTTACTGGATGAAAGGAGAGAAGTTTATTGAAGATTTGGATGAAAATCGGGTCTGGGAAAGCGATATAAGGTAAATAGCAGCATTTTTGTTCTCCCAATCAAGATTAATAATGCATTTGTTTTTATATTGTATAGTATGGTGTAAAAGGAAAGAATACGTTTTATTACTAACATGAGTATGATAATGCTACGGGCGCTCTTCTGTTATACCTGCTTCACGTCAGCATAACTCCATTGACTTCAGTGGCATTACACAGTGTAGATTGATGTAGTAGCTTACATTTGGAAAGAGAGAACAGAGAAAGTGCAGGCACTGGCAGGATTCTCATCTCATTTTTTGCACCATAAAATCAGAATAAATGACATAGGAATGCAGTAGAGTAACAGATCATAATCCATACAATAGCTTTATCAAATAGCAGAAAACATTATAGTTGAACACTGAAAGGTTACTGAAAAGATGTCAAAGGAAATAAATAGGTGAAGAAACAGGGCTTACAAATAAATACATTTTTAAAGCCACGAAGCATAAAATGTTGTAGAGGGTCAAAAGCTGACCTTTGTTTCTAAATATTATTGTTTTTGTTACATATGAAAGGAATTACATTCAATTATTATAAAAAAAAATTAGACCTCAAGAATTTTTCTTATCTTCTAATGTTTTAGGTTTTCTTTCATGTGGTCTCCTTCTACCTGATGAATACTTATGTACTATGTGGCTATGAAGGAATAGCATATTCTTCCGTTGCTTCTAAAATTGCTTCATTAATCTGAGATTATCTATTCATTAGGAATCCTCTGATTGACATATCCTAAAAAAACATATACAAGATAATTATAAAGGGGACTCAGAGCATAGGACTTAGGGCAGGGAACTCGAGGCAGGAGGTGTGTGGTATGGGGGGACCCAGGTAAGGAGATGGGGTGCAGGAGTCAAGGTAGGGCGTGGAAAATATGGTGGTGCTCAAGGAAAGGGGTGTGTATAGGAATCAGGTAGCAGGGTCTCAGGCCAAGGAACACAGGCCATGAAGCTGGGAAGTGAGTGGCGCAAACCAGGGCCAGCCATGGTGGCAAGGGTGGGGCTGCTCCAGTTGTGGCTTCTCTCAGGGGGCCAGAACTGTGCTGAATATTCCCCCCCCCCAAGATGGTTCCTGGAGTGGGAGTTGTCTGCCCTCTCCCCCACACATGCCAGCTTACCCAGCACCCCCAAAAGCTCCCGGGAGTAGCAGGGATGGGCTGCTCAGCCCTCCTGTCACCACCTCCCAGGGGAAGGGGCTGGGTCAGAGCTGTCTGGCCCCAAACACTGGCTTCTCATGGAGATGGGGGCTGGTGACTCCGCGCAGGGGATGGGGGCTGTGCTGCCCCCCTCAACCAGCAGCTCCTGATGGAGGGAGCTGTCTGGTTCCCCCCAACCAGCCAACATGCTCGTGCTCCATAGTCTATAGTCATGAGGGCTGAGGAGAGAGGTTGGGAGTGTAGTGACACTTACCTTTTCCGAAGGCTGGCAAAATGGCAAACCCTTGCCACAGCTGACCACTTTCTGGCTGGTGTGGTCATCCACTTGTAGGGTATGTCTACACTACCCCGCTAGTTCGAACTAGCGGGGTAATGTAGGCATCCCACACTTGCAAATGAAGCCCAGGATTTGAATTTCCCGGGCTTCATTTACATAAGCCAGGCGTCGCCATTTTTAAATCCCGGCTGGTTCGAACCCCATGCCGCGCGGCTACACGCGATTTGCATAAGCGGGCCCCCGCCATTTTTAAATCCCCGCTTGTTCGAACCCCGTGCAGCGTGGCTACACGCGGCACAAACTAGGTAGTTCGAACTAGGCATCCTAGTTCGAACTACCGTTACTCCTCATTCCACGAGGAGTAACGGTAGTTTGAATTAGGAAGCCTAGTTCGAACTACCTAGTTCGTGCCGCGTGTAGCAGCACGGCACGGGGTTCGAACCAGCCGGGATTTAAAAATGGCGGCGCCCGGCTTATGCAAATGAAGCCTGGGAAATTCAAATCCCGGGCTTCATTTGCAAGTGCAGTATGCCTACATTACCCCGCTAGTTCGAACTAGCGGGGTAGTGTAGACATACCTGTAGTCACTCTGCTGTATTGCTGTCCCCTGTGCTCAATTCCCCTAGTGGTCACTCAGCAGTATTACTGTCCTCCAATCAGACCCTTCCCTTTCTATGTTGTGGAAGACAATCCCATTCCATTGTGTCATTTTCTTGGCACAACCAAACCCTAATCTTGCTTTAAGTTATGATAAAAGGGAGATGCATATCAAATGTGGTGGTCCTAACTCTGACCATTTAGGAGGAGTTCTTAAACAAACAGGTGTGTGTGTGTGTGTGTGTGTGTGTGTGTGTGTTTCAAATATAGAATACAATAGTATGTTAGAACTGGAAGGGACCTTGAGGGATCATCAAGTTCATTTTCCTGCACTCATGGCAGGAACAAGCACGATCTAGATCATCCCTGATAGATGTTTGCCTAACCTCCTCTCAAAAATCTTCTATGGAGATTCCACAAACTACCTAGGCAATATATTCCAGTGGTTAACCATCTTGTATGGAAGTTTTTCTTAGTGTCCAATCTAAACATCCCTTGCTACAATTTAAGCCCATTGCTTTTAGTCCTATTATCAGAGGTTAAGGGGAACAATTGTTTTCTCTCCTCCTTGTAATAATATTTTAGGTACATGAAAGCTGTTATCATGTCCCCTCTGAGTCTTCTCTTTTCCAGACTAAATAAACACAGTTTTTTTAATCTTCTCTCATAGGTCATGTTTTCTACATTAATACATTCCAGAGGGATGTTTGCTTTATTTTGCAAGTGGCACACTGTTGACTCATATGTAGCTTGTAGCCACTATGACCCCTACATCCCTTTCTGCAGTACTCCTTCCTAGATATCACTTTCCATTTTGTGTGTGTGAAACTGATTGTTTCTCCCTAAGTGCATTTGTCCTTATTGAATTTCATCCTATTTACCTCAGACTATTTCTCTAGTTTGTCCAGATCACTGTGTATTGTATTCCTATTTCCCAAAGCATTTGCAACCCCTCCCAGCTTGGTATCATCAACAAACTTTGTAAGTGTACTCTCTATGCCATTATCTAAATCATTAATGAAGATATTGAACAGAACCAGTCTCCAAACTGATTCCTGTGGAACCTCTCTTGACATGCTCTTCCAGGATACTTTAAACCATTGATAACTACTCTCTGGGAACAGTTATCCAACCAATTATGCACTCACCTTATAGTATTTCCATCTATATTTTATTTCCTTAGTTAATTAATAAGAAAATCATATCTATATCTATATCTATATCTATCATATTAGAGTATATATGTCTGTGAATCCATCTGTTCAGCAACTCCTCCTAAACAGTAAGTGCTAAGGCCAGCAAATTTGGTATGCAGCTTCTTCTTGACTTAAAGCAAGGTCAGGGTTTGATTAGGCCAGGAGAACCAGAAGCCCTGGAAAAGGACAGTTTTCCATAACATACAAAGGGAGGGGCTGCTGTTCTGAGGGAGGCGATATGAGAGTGGCCACAGGGGAGCAGTGTGCCTGCTGGAGAGAGCTATCCTGAAGAGTGTCCACTAGGGACAGCTATAGCACCAAGGGAATGGCCGGCAGGGCTGGGGCTCTGCCATTTTGCCTCCCAGCACACCGGTAAATAGTCCCAGTGCCCCAAGTCCTTTCCCTCCCTCGCAGCCCTTGGCTGCAGCAACCCGCTTCCCTCCCACAGGTTACAGGCTGGAGGTTGGAGCCAACCCTTAGGGTGTGTCTAGACTACATGCCTCCTTCGACGGAGGCATGTAGATTAGCCAGATCG